AGTTTTATAAACCGACCCCGGCCTTGCTATTGTATTAATTCGATACCCATTTATAACTGTTTGTTGAAATTAATTTTAATCATGTGTAAATATTTATACACTGATTGAATGTTTTTGACTGCATGCATGGAATTATAATATTTAAACTTGTGTGAACAACAACACAAACATTCATAATACAATTGTAAATTGGTTAGTGCATGCATGCCATCTCAAAATATTCTTGAATGTACTTGTATGTAGATCAATGGTCATGCAACATTAGACCGTTAGTATCTCAAGGACTGCATTAATAGCCATTAAAAACAAAAGTTATGCAACGTTTGTCGTTTAGGTTGCCATTACTGAATACAATAAATATGTTAGTAATAGTTGTTTTAGGATCTTTTAGTTTTTACGTTAGAATTTCGTTTGATCCTTAGTGCAGTGCTCAAAATATATAATATGCATGCAGTTTAGAGTAAGCGTCAGAAATAGCTGTTTTGCAAAATTATATGTGATTAACCGTCGCCGTTGGTTTATTGATAATTGTATATTTAAGTGCATAAAATTAACAAAATTAAAAAATTAAAAAAAAATATGAAGACATATATTTTGTTATAATATTTTGTAATAGACCCTCTTCTGTATCTAACCTGGAATTTGATGAATGATGGTGAGCTGAAGATTTCACTCCTCTAAGATAACAATTTATTTTACTCTAAACGCCAAACGATTTTGCTCATGAGTGAAGAGCTTGGGAACTTTGAACGTTCACTTTGTCCTTGATAAATTATTCCTCTGCAGGGGCGCACATTCCGAAAATTTCTGGGGGGGGGGGCAAATTTTTTGGGACCGACTTTCATTGCTCAGTATCGTAATAATAATAATAATAATAATAAAATATTTATTTAAACTGCATAATTGTGTCAACTGACAACGCGATGATCGCATTGATCGCTGGTATTAATACAGGTGCAGAAATCCTCTTCAGTTCCTACCCGCCCGGCGCCCGCTCTATTTATCTAAAAATGATTAATAAACGCATTGGAGATTGCTCCAATTTGTACATGCAATAAAAAAAGACACATCAAGAAGATTCGGAATATAGGCCATTCCATTTTTGTAGGCATTTTTATTTTTGTATACCTTCTATTGAAAACCTTATACGCTCAAACCATTTAGCCGGGGGTGAGTTCGCATATTTGTATACAATATTTCACGGCATGGTTCACCCAGACCCTGTGAGGATATAAGAAAACCGTTGTTTAACAACTCAATTAAAATCACAAGCGACAATCGTATAAGAGATATAAGCCCCAAAAATACACTCTGCTCCAGGCTGTTGCTCGGAATATTACCCGAGCCAGTTCGGGTTGAAAATTGCTGACCCGGGTCGGCAAAAATTTTCGTCAACCTGGGTTCATGTAAATCGAATAAAAAATAACCAACTGAGGCGTGCTGACCCGGGTTGAAAATTATCCCGGGCCAGTGGCGGCGCCAGGGGGGGGGGGCAAATGCCCCCAAATTGACCACGCCCCAAAATATTAGTCACTAAAAGCGACTAAAGGCTACACAAGCGTTTTGTCGTTATCGGAAAATGTATGGCTTATAAGTTGTCATTACTCATTAGTGAATGCGCGTATGCATGAAACTGTTTTTTACACTTTCAATATTAGTTTGTAAATCTATGAATGGTAAAACTTGCCAATACTCCAATAATACGTTTCAAAAAAGACAAAAAAGCTTTAGTTTTGCAGAGTTAAATTCTCAAACGTGTAAGGCACGTGTAAGGCACTAATAAGATGAAAGTATCACGAAATTATTTGA